GCACCATGCCGCACGACGATCACAGCCGAAGAAATTGCGAAGCTGTTCATCTCCACCGTCGTACGCCTACACGGGTTACCTTCGGCGATCATCAGCGATCGAGATCCGAATTTCACGTCGAAGTTCTGGCAGGAGACGTGGGCACAGTACGGCACACGCCTGCAGTTTTCGTCGTCCTACCACCCGCAAACTGACGGTCAGACAGAGAGAACCAATCAGACCATGGAGCAGCTGATACGGACCAACTGCCCCGACTTGGCAAAATGGGAAGACTCACTTCCCATGCTGGAGTTCGCGTTTAACAACGCACCCTCCGCCACGACCAACCAATCGCCATTTTTCCTAAATTACGGGATGGACCCCATGATTGGAAAATTCATGACGCGTTCCACGTCAGCCTGCTGCGACATTTCGCACCACGATCATCCGATATCGCCCGACCCAGTATTGCTCCAAGTGTCCGCCCAGTGGCAGACCCGACACTCGAGCCATGGAAGATCCTCAACCACCGAGTCAATCTGACGGCCACGGGACGCCACGTCGTCTTCCTGCTTCGCTGGAAGGATCGCACGAGCGACGATGACACGTATGTTGCCGCGGACTCGCTACAAGGACACCCGATTCTGCAGGAGTATTTGACTCGCCGGCGTGTCCCGGATATACACCACCTTTCTTAAAAGGGGGGGGTAGTGTAAGGATTTTTCCCAATTCCTTACTGAGTCACACTGTACGCGTACAGCCCCAACTTTCGGAGTTCCAGGCTCGGTCCGCTGACCTCGCCCGCCGAACCATCAACGCGTCGCCTTCGGGTCTTTCCAACCCCGAACCTGCTCCTGACCTTTCGCGGTCCCGCAACCTCGGCCTAGCTAGTTCTCGCTATATAAGTGCTAGGCTCCATTATTCAGTCGGTAGTTGTTATCACTTCCGCGTTATTGAATCCTGCGCACTCTTCTTCATTACAACTCATAACAATTTTCGTCTTAACTGTTTTTTTCTTCGCAATTACTGTGCGGCCCGAGACGCGAAGTATCATGTAGACCAGCTCGTGTCTGGTCCACGGCTGGTCCGCGATGCTGGTCCGTCGGACCAGAATTGCGGACCAGGCATGCATTTTTTTGCAACGGACCAGGTCGGGGCGGACCAGTCACATGAGTCACCTTCTCAGTTGCACTCCTACAAGATTATTGGAATTTTGAACTCGTAATCTTGTAGGTTGCTCCGTCTCCACCCTGCGGTTTCAGTTCCACTATGCTCTCCTTTGCCCAGCATGATCGAAACGTACGTGTAGCCCGCATCAACTTCGGGTCATCAACTTCGGGTCTCCCGCATGAATCAAGAGGTCGGACAGGAGCCCCGAATACATCTCGAGTTCCGTTCCAGGCTTCAGCTGGTTCACCAGACATGCATGGGTTGGTCAGGAATGACCCTTCACCGACATGTTTTGCCTCCGACACGCAGGTGTTGCCTTACACCTCCTGACCAACTCCTGTCCTGCAACTTCCAAATCCCGCACCAACCTCACGATCAGATGGCACGAATTACACCGTCAATGCTGGTCGGGGATAGTTTCAGGTGGTTTTACCATCTGTCCGCACCGCCCCCGCTTATCCGCAGAAGGTCATCCTCTCCTCCATCTTATCCCAACTTTTCAACATACATCAACACCAACCCATTCCATTCTAGTTGTCAAGTGACTCTCTTTCGAGCACACGCATAGATTCCTTCAATCCGTCATTCAGGCCCAGTTTCACTTAGACACTAGTTACACGAATATACACTACCCTAACGGCTGTTTTGCCGCTTTTTAAGTACGTCACAATGAAGTGGCTATCAGCTGTAGTATGCTTGGCCCTCGTCACTGTCGCCTCTGCAGAGGTGTGCCCGAAGTTCGTGTGCGGGCCGGGTAATTTCCTGTATGGCAAGTTCACCGACCCCACAGACTCGTACAAGGAGCCGTCGGATCCTCTGTTCGAGGCGTACTTCACGCCGGGCCAGATGTACAATTACGAGAAGTTCAACATCAGCGACGACAAGATCGCGACGCCGCAGCTGGACTGCTACAAGGTGTGCGAGGCGTACAACATGCAGCTGCCCAGCAACGATAACTCGGCGAAGAAGGCCAAGTACTGGATGTTCGAGGAGACGTGTCTGGAGGGGACGGGCGGCATCTGCACGTGCTACAACAAGCTGCAGTGCAAGGACGACAAGAGCTACAGCAGCAAGTGGATGGAGCCGGCTCGCGGCGTGGGCACGGCAGACTACGAGGTGCCGGCGAATTTCACGGTGGGCGAGTTGTGCGAGGGCAAGGACAAGGGCGACCCGCATTTCACGGGCGCCGACGGGTCGCACTTCGACTTCAGCGGGAAGCCGAACCGCAACTACGCGCTGGTCTCGGACCCGCACTTCCAGATGAACGGCTTCTTCGGCGGGCGCTACAGCCGGTGGAACGGCGACGTGAAGGCGCTGACGTGGATCCGGTCGGTGGGGCTGATGGCGGGACACCACACGGTGGTTCTGGAGGCGCGGCGCGGCACGGAGGCGGAGTACGGCAACGGGTACCTGGCGCGCGTGGTGGCTGACGGCGTGGCGGTGGAGCTGACTGTGCCCGGCACGACGGTGCAGCTGTGGGACGGCGCGACGCTCAAGTGGGAGGCTGCGCGCATGCTGAGCGGCACGGACCTCGTCGACGTGTACGACGTGAAGATCGACGGCGTCGCCACCATCCGCCTCACGCTCAGGCCTGAGGTCAAGAACCTCCGCACCGCCACAGACGCCGCCGTGCACTTCGGCCTCGACGTGCTCTCCTCCTCCTTCTCCAAGGCCGTGCACGGCGTGCTCGGCCAGACGTTCCGCCCCGACTTCCAGGGCCGCCTGTAAGTCGAATCATCCCTCGCGCTTCCCTGCCTACGAGAATTTGTTTGTTCGTTTGCCTCGTTCCTTGCTTGTTCCAGATTCCACTCCTAGGCATTTTTTGCGGCTTAGTTATGGTTGTTCGTGGGCTCATATGCGGTTTCCACTCTCCTTGGTGTTTTTCTCCGGTTGGGTTTCTCAGGTCCCATCAAAGTCTGCAGTGGAGCGATCTGCTGCAGGTGATGGTGGTGCCGGGCGACAACGCGGAGGGCTTCATCGATGGAAGCATGGACGACTACGAGGTGGCGGACCTGCTCAAGGCGGACTGCAAGATGTGCCGCTTCACGCGCGCCCACGCCGTGGACGAGGAGATGTCCATCGCCATGAACATGATGGGCAGCGCCGTCGGCGGAGGCCTGCCCGCTGCTCCTCGCAAATACCTCGCACAGAGCTTCTAGATAACTAGTTCCTGTGCTAGTATACGATTGTAGTTCTGGCTGCTGTAAGTGTACAATACATGTAGAAAGTTATGAACTATTTTTGACGTTCCTTTTTCTCCAGTTTCGTCAGCGTGGAACAGATGTTTGGACACCATCTGCCCCCCAATGATGTGCTTGACCGTGGAAGAAACGTACATGCCCCGCGAATTTCACCGAGACTGCAGCTGCACTCGTCCGCCAACGAGGCAAGGTGTCGAATTTTCAGATTCATCTTTGTGTGTGCCAAGCCAGATTGGTTTGTTCTTCTGTCTGTCCGGTTTAGGATTGACGTTACACTGTGAGGCATTCCAGAGAGAATTACTGTAGAACCTGGATCGGTGATTCATCCTTACTCGCGTGGCTTCGAATTACTCGAGTGGCCACCAAATTTGGTGATAATTACTCGAGTGGCCACGCCAGGGGATTGAAGTTGGTTTTGTTTTACCCGGCGCATTACCCTACAAGGGTTTGTATCCCCGAAACCTCTGTACTGATTAATGCGCGACCCCATATGACCGCGCCTGATTGGACGCGCATTGCAAAACAAAGCACCGCGCATATAATCGACCAATCATGCGCGGTCATTTAATGTCCCGCGCATTGACGCCCGGGCATTGCAGTTTATGATCGCGGAAATATATGATCGGGCATTAATATATGATGTGCCCGACCATTAATGACCGCGCATGATTGGTCGACTATATGCGCGTCCAATCAGGCGCGGTCATATAGAGTCAGGAACATAAATTTCGAATATAAATCATCATGCGAAAACATCCATTATAAATCATCGCGTAAACTGAAAATCGCGCAATTATCAATACAGAGGTTTCGCAACAAGCATACAGACATGCATAAACCCTTCCTAGAAGTGTCTTACTACCTCAAACATCAAAAGACCATCGCCAAAACCCGAAACAAAGTATTGCTTCCTAAGACATCTACAGCCGCATGTCAACCAAGTAGGGCACGTCCACCCATGGTGCTCCCTCATACGAACCCTTGTAGGGTAATGCGCCGGGAAAAAAAATAAAAGCCAGCGGGAATCCCTGGCGTGGCCACTCGAGTAATTATCACCAAATTTGGTGGCCACTCGAGTAATTCGAGGCCATGCGAGTAAGGATGAATCACCGATCCAGGTTCTACAGTAATTCTCTCGGCATTCCACCTTCGCCTCCTGTTTCAGGCGAATCTGCTCTCGTCACCCTTCGCCCAACCAGTTTCAAGTTCAGTATTTTGAAGCTTTGCCATTCTAAACTCGGGCTACATTTGACTCCCGAAACCCGAAATCCTGGCGAAATGTTACTGCGGAAGACAACTGGGGGCACGAAATTCTCAATGTTCGCCAACCATCACTTTCGCGCTGGCAAGCCAGGTTCAATATTTTCTTTTCTGAACCCACGCCAAGCAAATGTGGACACTCGTTAAAATGCCCCCATCCCAGATCCTGCGGCCATTTCTCCAATGCAGGGCACGCTGTTAGAAGTAAGATGTTATGCATTCTGTATGCTCAGCGTATATTAGAATTATGAGACATTCGTATTATAGAACCAACTTACAGAAACAACCACTTCCAGCTTGAAGGAAGCGTTAACATATCCCTGAAATTAGTGCACCACTAAACACGCCAAATTTTCCCCGCTGGAAACCTTTGATAGTTCCATCACGGCTTTAACTGGACGCATCCCCAGAAGCAACAGCGAGAGGTTTGAGCGCTTTCCTGGGAGTGGTGGCGGAAATACCACCTCCTGAAACACCTCCCATCATCGCCAGTGCAATGGTGGTTTCTTTGTCTACAGTCTCCGCCCGGGTAAACGTGCACATCTTGCAATCCGATTTCAGAAGGCCCGACACCTGGTAGTCGTCAACCCCTCCGTACAAGAACCCCTCGGCATTGTCACCTGGAACAGCCATCACTTGGAGAAGGTCGCTCCACTCCAGCTTTTGCTCAGCACTGCAGAGCAAAAAAATCCAAGGGAATATACATCAGCAAAATGGACCAAGACAGGAAAGACGCGAGCAGCGTAACTCACGAGCCTCGAAACAGCAGATGACATCATAGATTAATACGTCGAAACGGAACTGCGAGACGATGAAAGAAGCAGGAAGATGTTGCAACTTACAGTCTCCCATCGAAGTCCTGGCGGTATGTTTGACCCAGGACGCCATGCACGCCGGGGGAGAAATGCGCGTTCAACACCTCCAGACCGAAATGCACCGTGCCGTCCTTCGGCGTTCTCCATGTCTCCACCTCTGGCCGTAGAGTCAACCGAATCGTCGCCACACCGTCCACCGCAAGATCGAAAACATCGACATAGTCGTCTCCGTTATGCTGCCGCGCGTAGACCCAGGTGAGTGTAGCTCCTTCCCAAAGAGTCAGCGACGTTCCAGGCGCCTTAACTTGGACCGGTTTCCCGTCGACCAACACTCGTGCCAGATACCCGCTGTTATAATCGAACTCCGGCCCCTTGCGCGCTTCTAGGACCACCGTGTGGTGCCCGTGCATCACGCTGACGTCACGGATCCACGTCAGCGCCTTGAGCCTCGATCCCCACGCGGTGTACCTCCCTCCGAAATACCCATTCACTTGCAAATGCAGATCCGAGACGATCGCGTAGTTCCGATTCGGCTTGCCGCTGAAATCGAAGTGCGAGCCGTCCGCGCCGCTGAAATGCGGGTCGCCCTTGTGACCCGGCTCGCACAGCTCGCCCGCCGTGAAATTCGCCGGCACCTCGTAGTCGCCATTAATCTTTCTGCCCGCCTCCATCCAGTTGCTGCTGTACGATTTCGACCCCTCGCATTGCGTCTTCGCGAAGCACGTGCAAATCCCGCCCGTCGCCTCCAGACACGTCTCCTCGAACATCCAGTACTTGGCCTTCACCTCGCCGGGCTTCCGTTTCGCGTTCCATCCCGAGCAAAACTTGTAGCAGTCGCTGTTTGCGTCAGCGATAGATTCGTCGGTGATATTGTACGAATCGTAGTTGTACATCTGGCCACCTGTGAAATACGCTTCCACCAGCGGCTCTGGCTCTTCCAGCGGGTCGACGCGGTCGGTGAACTTTCCGTAAAGAAATTTACCTTCGCCGCAGGTAAATTTCGGGCAGACTTCGGCGTAGGTGGTGTGGAGAGAGGTGACAGAAAGGAGGAAGACGATTACGAGGGAGGACGCTACAGCGCGGTTTGACCGCAGCCAGCGTTCCATTCTGGAAACGATGTCGAGAACACTAGACCGCAGTAATTGTATGGTCAGGCTCGATGAGCAAAGGTTGTACAACAAGGAGATCCCAGAGTAGAAAAAACGGGCCCAAAGAAGCACTTGTGGGGAACTAGGGAACTGATAGGGTGGTTGCTTTGGAGTGACAGGGTGGATGTCAGGTGAATTGATGCGTCCTATCAAGTCAGCTCCCGAGACAGTCACGCGGAGAGGCAAACAACTGCAGGAAAGGAAAACGCGTTGGTAAGAAGGGAAATGTAGATTTTGGGGTTGGGAGGTGTGTCCGATGAAGTCAGCTCAAGGCCCAAAGAGCAGGGGGGTGAGTGAGTGGAAGAGGGAGGAGAGGACCTCTCAAATGTACGTCACGAATGAAGGCAGCATGAAAACACCGTGGGATGTGAACGAAGCAAGCGGCCGTTGGAAAACAGCAAACAGAGTGTAATAAGCCAAACGAAAATGCTGATCTTTAGCTGCACTTGCAACACCGTTCTGATTGAGACAGGTATGCATAATGCGACCGGTAGTGGCAAGAGGTCGGCAAAGAGTGAGGACTCACTGTTACTATTGCTGTCTTGTTTCGAGAACGTACGAAGTGGTAACACCCTGAAATTGTCGATTAGCTGTCTTCAATTGTCGTTTTGCATTATCAAAATATGTGAATGTCCTCTTCTTCGTGGACAGACTCATACCTGCGGCGCGGAATCCATGGGGCCCCCTACTTTGGTCACACAGTATTTCTTGAATCACCTGCTCAAGCCCACGCCAGTCCAATGTCCAGCTGTGAAGATTTGATCGAGGTGGATGCCTGGTGAGCAGGTGGAGTGGATCCAAGAGTACAATACACTTGATGCTGCGGATATGTATATTCGTACCATGGCTCCACCACTCGGTGGATAAGGCTTTACAGTCTGCTGCCCAAAAGCAAGAAAAATGCTCTGTTCGTGACCGTGAATACGCAAATCTTGCTTGCCACACATCTTGGGCTACAACTTATACTGTATTAGGTTGTTGATGTGGTGGTGCCCTAAGAACCTTTCTCACCCCAGCCATGAGTTCGGCCCGCATTATGCCATGAGCACTAATAAACACGCCTCTAACAAAAACGGGGTGTAGTTTACTGTACGTGGCGTGTTTGTGAAGTACATCTAAGATGTTCTACTCCCTGAACGGAGCTGCACATGGTGAAGGATTTAGAAGGTTCAACATAAAACAATCTCTTATACATTACAGAAGTAATAACATGACACTATTGACTAACACTATAGTCTTGTGAAAATCAATAACAAACTAATGTATATCCCAGAGAACTCTAAACTCTTATGCCCCCCCTCCTCCACCGTCCCAAATCCCCCACTCCCCCACCCCGCACCCCCCACCCCACAATCCCCCCACCCGCATCACATAGCATTTTCACCAAAACCCTCCACTCTGCTACGGTACTCTCAGACTACTATAAAATCCATACCGTCATATTTGTATCAGCCACTAACTATTCACACGTGCAGTGCACTAGTATTACCGTTGCGCTGAGACCAACAAGTGATACGCGCCCTTCTTCGCGAGAAGCTCGTCATGGGTACCCTGCTCCACCACGCGCCCCTTCTGCATCACAACAATGCAGTCCGCACTGCGCACGGTGGAGAGGCGGTGGGCGACGACAACGGTGGTGCGGCCGACCATGACTCGCTCCAAGGCCGCCTGCACCACCTTCTCGCTCTCCGCGTCTAAGGCAGACGTCGCCTCGTCCAGCAGCAACACCCGCGGGTCCTTCAGGATCGCCCGCGCGATCGCCACCCGCTGCTTCTGGCCTCCGGAGAGCTGGGTGCCGCGCTCGCCTACCAGCGTGTCGTATGCGTCGGGAAGAGTGGAAATGAACGCATGGGCATTGGCAGACTTGGCAGCTTCAACAATCTCAGTCTCAGTCACGGCTTCCAGCTCCTCTTCCTCCTCCCTCCCATCCGCACCACTCCCCGCACTCTCCCTACTCATCCTAAAATCACGGCTGCGCTTCGAATCCCGGGTTCCCTTACTGTCACCAAGGCTCCAACAGCCCTTCTTACCAGCACCATCGGCATCAGCACCATCACCAGCAGCGGCTCCGCCGCTCGGAACATAGGTGGCAGCGCGGCCGTAGGCGATATTGTCGCGGATGGAGATGTTGAAGAGTGCGGGCTCCTGGCTGACGAGCCCCATGTGTTGGCGCAGCCAGCGCAGGTTGAGTGCGGCGATGTTGCGGCCGTCCAGCAGCACGGCTCCGCTCTGCGGGTCGTAGAAGCGCTCCACCAGCGCCACCACCGTCGACTTGCCGCTGCCACTCTCCCCCACCAGCGCCACCGTCTGCAGGGGAAGGAAGGGGAAGGATGGGCCAAAAGCAGGTTGACAAATGCAGCGGCCGACATGAGCGGACAAAAGGTTGATGAGCATGTGAATCATCGGAGCTGAGGAGATGAGGGAGTGGAGTTGGTGTTTCATATAAGCAGTTCGTGTGCCATGTGTGTACCCTCCCGTGTGGTATGAGTGCAGGAGTTCCACAGTGCAAGTGTGAGATATTATGGTGCTTCAGAGTGTGATGAGTCGATTTTTGAGCCGACTCAAAAATCAACTCAGTCGTTTCACATTGCGAGTGTGAGATATTATGGTGCTTCAAAGCGAACACTGATCACCCACCCACCTTGCCAGCCGGAATCGTGAGCGTAAAATCCTGCAGCACCGTGAGGTGCGGGCGGGACGGGTACGCAAACACCACTCCCTGGAATTGCACCTCGCCCCCCACGCCCTCCTCCGGGCGCTCCCCCTTCCCCTCCGGGTCGATGCGGGAACGGCGGTCCAGCAGCTTGAAGATGGACTTCACTGCTGCCTGTGCTGTTGCCATGTCGGGCGCTAGACTGGCCGTCTGTGCCACTCCCATTGCTGTGAATACCACTGCAAAGAACGACTGGGGGGGGAGAGGGGGAGGGGAGAGGGGAGAGGAGGTTGGGGTGGGAGGGAGGGATGTGAGAGGGCGGGATGGAAGGGAGGAAGCGATGAATGGTGAAAGCACTGAGCATCAAAATGCAGAGGAAGTCAATGGAGCAGACTGCTGAGAACCCACCTGACACGCACCTGAGGAGTCACCTGAGAACCACCCTGGGACCCACCTGAAAGACGGATTGGAAGTCAGCCTGGCCGATCTTGACGAGCTGCCCGCCGCACCAGAAGGAGAAGCCATAGACGGCAAAGAGACAGAACTGCCCAAAGCCAAAGCCCGCTCCGCTGACCTGCGATGCGGAGAGCAGGAAGGAGAGAGTGAGAGAGAAGAGTGAGCGGTAGTCGTGGGAAAAGGTGGAGTGTGGTGGAGCGTATGGAGTATAGAGTATGGAGTATGGAGCCAAAGCCAAAGCCCGCTCCGCTGACCTGTGATGCAGAGAGCAAGAGAGAGAGGGTGGGTGGTGAGAGAGTGGGGGGTGAGTGGTAAGAGAGTGGGGAGTGAATGGTAGCTGAAGGAAAAGGTGGAGTGCGGTGGAGAGTGGGGTGGCGGAGAGAGTGGGGCGTTGAAGGAGCAGTGGGCGTTGAAGGAGCAAGGAAGTGCTTTAGCAGTGGCTCGGTAGTGCGCCATGACTCTGCACCTCTCTCCCCCAACCATCCACCCCCTTTCCATCTAAACTTTCTCCCCCCTCCACATACCTGTGCCTTGCGCAGCCCTCCCTTGACGGGGGCGACAGTAGTGGCACTGTAGAGAGCCATGACTCTGCCCCTCTGCTTTCACTCCCTCGCCTCCTTCTGCACGCCCATGACTCCTCTCCCATCTCCCCAGGCCCTCCCCACCCTCTCCCCCTCTCCCCAAACTCTCTCTCTCCCCACACGCACACCCACCTGTGCCTTGCGCAGCCCTGCCTTCACAGGGGCGACAGTAGTGGCGCGGTAGAGTGCCATGACTCGGCCCTCTGCTGCAAACGATGCCACTGTGCGCATGGCACCCACTGCATCCGATGCTATGCGCGTCGCTGCCTCGTACGCTTGCTGCCAGGTGAAGAGGGGAGGTGGGGGAAGAGAATGAAGAGTGAGAGGCAAGCGGAGAGACTTGAGTGCCACTGAGCCACTCCCTCTCCCTCTCAACGCAACCCACCTTGGCATCATCAGCAAAGCCCTGGAGGCTCTTCATTTGAAAGATGGAGCCGGCAGCGATGAGCGGCAGCGGCTCAACCACTTTCAATAGACCCCTCCCCACCAACTCCCCCCCACGTCCTCCCCCTGCCCATCCCCCTGCCCATCCCTCTGCCCATCCCTCTCCCCCCCTCCACCCACCTTGGCATCATCAGCAAAGCCCTAAAGGCTCTTCATCTGAAAGATGGAGCCGGCAGCGATGAGCAGCAGCGGCTCTACCCTCTCAAAAGACCCCTTCCCCCCAACTCCCCCCCACGTCCTCCCCCTGTCCATCCCCCAGCCCCCCTCCCCCTCCCTCTCCCTCTCCCCAACCCACCTTGGCATCATCAGCAAAGCCCTGGAGGCTCTTCATCTGAAAGACGGAGCCGGCAGCGATGAGCGGCAGCTGGGCGAGCACGATGAAGGAGAGGATCCACGAGGACGAGAACGCCAGGATGAGACCCGCCACGAGCGTCGCTGCGTTCTGCACGGCTAGGGAGAGCCGGTCGCCCACTATGGAGTGCACGTGGGTGGCGTCTGAGGAGAGACGCGAGCCAATGGCGCCACTGGGAGTGAAGGAAGAGGGAAGAGGGGGAGTGATATAGAGTTGGGGTGAGAAGGGAAATCAGAGACAGACGGTCGCCCACTATGGAGTGCACGTGGGTTGCATCGGAAGAGAGGCGTGAGCCAATGGCGCCACTGGGGGGTGGAAAAGGGGGACAGAGGGCAAGGAGATGGGTTGAAGGAGGGAGAGGGGTGCAAGCAGGTGTGGCTGCGTTCTGCACGGCCAGGAGAGGCGGTCGCCTGCTAGACGTAGGTTGCGTTGCGTCTGAGGAGAGACGGGAGCCAATGGCGCCACTGCGGTTGGCAGGAGTGATTATCTCACCTGGAGTTCTCATCGCGGTCGAACCAGGCCATCTCCTGGCGCAGCACGGAGTGGAAGCACATGCGGCGGATGCGCCAGATGAGGCGCTGCCCCGCCACGCTGAACAGGAAGGTCTGCAGCGTGCGCGAGACCCACGCCACCACGGCCAGAATGACAAACATGAGCGACCAGAAGTCCGCGTCGCTGCGCATCTTGGAAATGTCTGATAAGGGGCCGGGGAGACAAGGGGGTATGAGGGAGGGAGGGAGGGAGGGAGGGAGGGAGGTAGGGGAAAGAGTGGAAACAATAGGGGCAGCGAAGTGAGGAAAGATGTTTCGGATGCATACAGAAGAAGCACCCAAAGCAGAAGCACCACCTGGGTTGTAGCACAGCCCACCTGGGTCGTCGACTCAAAAGTCACACACAGCTGTGGTTCCAAGCTACCACCCACCTGGGTTATAGAAGACGGTGATGATACGGGAGAGGATGAGGGCGAAGAAGGGCAGGATGACGCCCTGTATGGCCGCTGCCACCGTGCCTGACAGCGCATATGGCCACTCGGGCTTGTTCAGCATGGCCAGGCGCAGGAACGGAGACCGCTTCTTCCTCTTCTTATCCTTCTTCTCCTTCTTCTTCTGCTTCTTCTTCTCCTTCTTCTCCGCTTTCTCCCTCCTGGCCTTCTCTCCTGCGCCTTCCTTCTCGCCCTGCTCTGGGTCTGTCCCCGTGCCTCCCCCCTTGCCCGCCTCCCCAGCCTCCTCTCCCCCCACTCCCTCTCCCTCTCCCTCTCCTTCTGTCTCCTCCTCCTCCTCCTCGTCATCATCCTCATCCTCATCGCCATCAGCACTGCTGCTGCTGCTCGTCTCTTCCAAACTCCCTTCCTTCCCCGCCTTCCCCTCTTCCCCACCACCCGCCCCCGCTCCTGCCACACCGCCCGCACCACCCACCTTCCCACCCTCCCCGTCACTCCCACCCTCCGCCCCTCCCTCCCTCCCACTCCCAGCCATCTCCTGAAGCTTCACCAGCTGCAGATACGCCCCCCCTTCCTTCATCAGCTCCTCGTGCTTCCCCTCCTGCACCACCTTCCCTCGGCTCAACACAGCGATCCGATCGGCGCCGCGCACGGTGGAGAGGCGGTGGGCAACGACAACGGTGGTGCGGCCGACCATGACTCGCTCCAAGGCCGCCTGCACCACCTTCTCGCTCTCCGCGTCCAAAGCTGACGTCGCCTCGTCCAGCAGCAGCACCCGCGGGTCCTTCAGGATCGCCCGCGCTATCGCCACCCGCTGCTTCTGCCCGCCTGAGAGCTGCGTGCCGCGCTCGCCCACGAGAGTGTTGTAGCCCTGGGTTAGGGACGCATGGGGGGAAGGGAAAGGGAAAGGGAAAGGGAAAGGGAAAAAGAGGGATCCTTGAGGATCGCCCGCGCTATCGCCACCCGCTGCTTCTGGCCTCCGGAGAGCTGCGTGCCGCGCTCGCCCACCAGCGTGTTGTAGCCCTGGGTCAGGGGGGCATGGGGGAAAGGAAATGGAAAGGGAGACAGGAGGGGTCCTTGAGAATAGCCCGCGCGATCGCCACCCGCTGCTTCTGCCCCCCTGAGAGCTGGGTGCCGCGCTCGCCCACTAGAGTGTTGTAGCCCTGATGGGGGGAAATGGGGAAAGGGGAGGGGAAGGGAGGGGGGGGAATGAGGGAAGAATGAGTAAGATTGGGGTGGAATGGGTTTACGGGCAAAGAAAGGGTTGGAAGCAAGAGATTGGGTGGAGGAGATTGGGTGGCTGTTCTTGAATGCAGATGAGGAGGTTATAAAGAGGAGGAGGGGGAGAGGCGAGATTGTAGAAGCAGCAGCAGCAGCAGCAGCAGCAGCAGCAGCAGCAGCAGCAGCAGCAGCAGCAGCAGCAGCAGCAGCAGCAGCAGCAGCAGCAGCAGCAGCAGCAGCAGCAGCAGCAGCAGCAGCAGCAGCAGCGAACGAAGGGGTAAGTACGGGAGGAAGGGGAGAGGCAAGAAGTCGCACGGCGCGGAATTGAGCATTGAGAACACAAAGGTGCAGAAACATTCAAAGGCACCAGTCGTGATACCCAACAAATTCAAAAGTGGACTTACATCTGGAAGCGATTCAATAAACTCGTGAATGTTGGCAGCCCGCGCCGCCTCCTTCACCTCCTCATCACTCACCCCACTCCCCAGCTTCCCCTCTCCCTCTCCCCCTCCACCCCCTCCCCACGCCTCCCCTCCGCCCTTCCCATAAGCAATATTATCCCGGATCGACACATTGAAGAGCGCGGGCTCCTGGCTGACGAGCCCCATGTGTTGGCGCAGCCAGCGCAGGTTGAGTGCGGCGATGCTGCGGCCGTCCAGCAGCACGGCTCCGCTCTGCGGGTCGTAGAATCGCTCCACCAGCGCCACCACCGTCGACTTGCCGCTGCCACTCTCCCCCACCAGCGCCACCGTCTCCCCTGCGCGGATCTTCAGGGAAAACCCGTTGAAAATGGTCACGTCGGGGCGGGAGGGGTATGCGAAGACGATGTCTTGAAGCTCGAGTTCGCCTTTTACTTCGGAGTCCGGAGGGGTTTCGCCGGCGGGACTGGAGCTGTCTATAGGGGGGATGCGCTGAATGACTTGGAATATCTTGTAGGCGGCTGCTCGGCCTGAGGCGAATGCGGCAAAGGAGGGGGAGGCCTGGCCCAGGGACCTGCGTGGGGGAGATGGTAGAGATAAAGGGGGGAGAGAGAAGGGTCAACACAAGACAGGGGAGAGAAGGGTTAACCACAACACGGCACGGCACGGCACGGCACGTCACGGCACCACCCCACATCGCGAGGTAGAGGGGTTGGAGCTGTCGATAGGGGGGATGCGCTGAATGACTTGGAAGATCTTGTATGCTGCTGCTCGGCCTGAGGCGAATGCTGCAAAGGAGGGGGAGGCCTGGCCCAGGGACCTGCGCGGGGGAGATATAGGGGGGAGAGAGAATGGTCAACACGATGTGGCACGGCATGACTTACCACCACCACACCACACTGCCCGACACCATACAACTCACCCTAACAAGTCACCCCTTGTGTGGCTTACACATTGGCTCCCAACACCACGACATGGCAGGATACCACCACACCACACCACACCACACCACACCACACACAACCAGCTCCTCTCACCCCCATCTTTCGGGACTCACATGCCGCCGAGTATAACTCCGAAAAGCACTGAGAAGACCTACCCGCCCGTTTAGCTGCTGTCGGCGATGCGCTTCGACTCGTACCACAGCGCGACACACCTGGCATGACCCACACCCCTTCTCAGCACTCACATGCCGCCGATGATCACTCCAAAGAGCACCGAGAAGACCTTCCCACCCGTGTAGCTGCTGTCGGCAATGAGCTTCGACCCGTACCACAGCGCCAGCGCGTACGAGCAGAACATGACAAAGATTGTGAGCCCGTAGCCGAACCCGCTCGCCAGGCCCTGCTTCACGCCCTCCTTGAAAGCCGCGTGCAGGTGGGCGGCGTACGCTTGGACTGACTTGCGCTCCGCTGTGAAGGCCGCCACCTGTGGGGGATGGGGGCAGGTGGGGACGGGCAGATGGGGACGGGCAGATGGGGACGGGCAGATGGGGACGGGCAGATGGGGACGGGCAGAAGGACGGGCAGGCAGATGGGCGGACATGATGGGATGGGATGGACCATCTTGGAGCACAGGATACCAACAGAACTAGCAGCATTGCACAGTGTGGTGAGCCAACACCGTGGCACCAGTGCAGTTCGGTGCAGTGGAAGCACTCACGGTGCGAATGGCCCCCACACACTCCTCCACGATGGTGCCAGCAGCGGTGTACGCCTGCTGGCCCTTGCTGCTGGACTGCTGCACCACCACTGTGATCACTCCCCCCGCCACCGCCAGCAGCGGCAGCGTGGCCAGCATCACCAGAGCTAGCTGCCACCCCGATATGAACGCCACCACGAAGCCGCCGAGAAACTGCGCCAGGAACTGCATGCACGTGGCCACCTGGAGCGCAGGGGGGGGGAGAGATTGGAGAAATGGGAGGAGTTGGGGAGATGGGAGCGATGGGGGAGGTTGGCGAGACTGGAAAGGGGTTGACAGGGTGGGGCCTTTCGGGGCCTTTCGAGGCCCTTTGAGGCGCCTCAAACGGGAGGCTGGAAAGACTGGAAATAGGTTGACAGGGCGGGGTGGTGAGAACAAGACAGAGGAGATGACCCAAAACGGTGGCGAAAGGGAGGGGCGGTTGGCATGGCATGAACAAGATGAAACGCAAAATGCGCCCCACCATTTCGCCCCATTACGACACCCAAAGTAAACCTACCTTGCCCCCATCCCCCCCACATCCCTTTCCCCCAGCCTTCCCCCCCTTCCCACCCCCATCCGCGCACCTTCTCCCCCATGGCCTCCTGCACCAGCACGATGTCCCCCGACATGTGCCCCACCACCTCCCCCGTGCTGAGGCTGGTGTCAAAGAATCCCACATCCTGCCGCAGCACTGATTCCAGGTAGAGCGATCGCAGCCGCGCCGCCTGCCGCTCGCCCGTGCTCATCCAACACGCCGTCTCTGGGGAAGGGGGAGGGGGAGGGGGGAGGGGGAAGGGGAAGGGGGAGGGGAAAGGGGGGGCAAGGGGAAGGGCGGAGGGGGAGATGGAAGGTGGATAGGAGAACAAAAGGGAAAGGGGAAGGGGAATGGGAAGGGGAAGAGGAGGGAGAAGCGGAAGGACAACAAGGGCACGGGAAGAGCAGGGGGGGGGCGAGGTGCACCCAAGAGAAACGACGAGAGGGTGAGGCGGTGCACACGAGTGGGTGAGAAGGAGGGACAGAGCAGAGAACAGAGTGATGATGACACCCATGAGTCGATCCCCAAACTCGCCCACACCACACTTCCCCAACATTGCCCATCCCGCACTCGTGCAGCATAAACATGTTTAAACTCGCACCACCCCCAGCATGCGCTCACGTATATACGCCGTGACGCCAGCCGCTAGTGCCAGGAAGATGAAGTTCAGTGACGCCTGCGGACGGGAGAGGGGGTGGGGGAAGGGTGGGGGAAGAGAAGAGGCGGGGGGAGAGCAAGATGTTGGCAGACTCGCACCACCCCGCCGTGACGCCAGCCGCTATCGCCAGGAAGATGAAGTTCAGTGACGCCTGCGGACGGGGAAGAAGGAAGGGACGGGGGGAAGGGGTGGAGGGAAGGGTGGGAGAAAGGGTGGAAGAACATTTTGGTCAAGCGCCTTAAAACTTAACAGACAAACAAACAAACAAAATAAAACAAGAAAAACAATCAAAACGGAATCACACCTTGGTCGAGCATGGCATCCATGCTGGTGGTGTTAGACCCGAACGCGTTCATCATGTCGCCGAACAGCAACTATTGCCACGCCTAAACACACACACACACACACACACACACACACACACACACACACACACACACACACACACACACACACACACACACACACACACACACACACACACACACACACACACACACACACACACACACACACACACACACACACACACACACACACACAGAAGAAACGCACCCACCTTGGCGACCTGGTCGAGCATAGCGTCCATGCTGGTGGCATTAGAGCCGAACGCGTTCATCATGTCGCCGAACAGCAGCGCCATCATGGGCAGCGCGATGCCCTGCGCGATGGCGCCCACCGACCCCGCCACCATCAGCGCCACGTCCCACTTGTCCGCGTATCGGAACAGCTGCCCGTACGGCACACTCCCCGCCGCCTCCGCGCCCTCCTTCGGATCCCCCTTCTCCCCCTTCTCCTTCTCCGCCTTCTCCGCTTTCTCCGTTTTCTCCGTCTCAGCCTCCTCCACCGCCGTTGCCGCCGTCGCGTTCTCCCCGCTTTCCTCCCCCGTTGTTACCGCCACCAGGTTCGCCTCCTCGCCGTCGCCCTTCGCCGCCGATCCTCCCTCCCCCTGCTCCTGCGCTCCCACTTCCAAGAGCGGAGAGCTTTCGTCTGCAACTGGCGAAACTCCCGCCGCATCCTGCGCCGAATGTTCCGCCGGGAGCGCCGTGGACGCCGCGGACGCGCTCTCCGCCGGCGGCGGCCCGCGCTCAGTGTCGGGATCCGCGCCCATGGGGAACTGCGGAGCCGCGCGGGGTCAGACGAGGGAGTATGGGAACAAATAGGGAGGAACGGAAAGATGGAGCGGGAAGGGAGGGAAGGAGTGAGGGAGGGAGGCGGGGTGGGAGGGAGGGAGGAAAGGAGGGAGGAAAGGAGGAATGGCGAAAGGGAGGAAAGTGAGCTGAACGAAGCATGACCGAAACTGCTAATGCGGTTCGACAGCCATGGCACACTAGCAAGGCAAGTAGAATGACGTCACTGAACAGCTAAAAGCAAACTGTCTTTCGCACAAGCGGGAACACGACGACATTGAGGAAACGAAAACCGCCGAGCTGCAAGCGCAATGAAAGTAAACGAACGACATAACTAGCGTGAGTTTCGCCGCGCAGAAAATACGGCGTACGGATTCGATTAGCTAGAGTGCAGAGAACATTCCAAGCGTAGAGAACGGCGTCAAATCCATCACTACAACCCTATGGTCAAACAGCGACAACATGGTATGCACGAGGAGCACTCACCCAGAGTTAGGCCTTGGCCGAATGTACGAAGGGACGGAGAAGTACCGCTAAGTTCACCAGTGCGTCTCGAGTTAGCTTGGGCTTGTGAGTGTTTATCACTGGAATGCGAAAGAGACTCCGTAGTAGAAGCTTGGGGCAGGCCGAACACAGTAGAGTTTCTCTGCTGTATTGTCAGCGTTCAGATAATCTACCCTTGTTGAAAATGCCTCTCTAGAGGCTGTAGAAATGTGTAATTGAGAATTGCATGCTGTGGTGCCTCTCTTCAAATAGATTGAGAGCAAGACGAGGGAAGGAAGTTGTGGGTGCGCGCAAAGAGGGAAGCCGTGGCAGCTTCGGGGTTTGGCTTGGAACGGTCCCGTCCCGAACCGGGAGTTGCTATGGGCTGACCTGTTCCACGCCAAGCCACAACCTCGGGGTGCGCCAACATCTGAGGGTTTTGTGTTTATCGTAGGAGGACGTGTTCGACAGCTTTGAATCCACAAAGGACTAAATGGAAGGACAAAAGTGAAACAGTGATGAACACACACTATTCGTGAGCGCGGTGACAAAACAGAAAGTGACAGTACGGTTCATTATCACTTCATAACTTAAGGATGCGGTACGCTCACACGCTAGAACCTGGTGTCGAACAGAGTTCTGGAACTTATGGAACTCGCAAGTCAAATTCATAAACCCCAAACCCGATACATTTCTTGTGTGGTATGTCAAGTAGAAATATGTCGCGATCCGGCACAAAGCACTGGACAAAGCCGCACTCCCGAGCCTACCAGATCTGTTTTGGCACGCGCGAACAATGTCGGATCACAGTAACTCTAGTACCAATGGGTTTGCCAAACCAGGCACGTACGGAGCTACCGAGCTGACGTGCCAAAGCCAGCTCACCATGAAAGCGACAGCGCTTTGGAAATATCGCGCCTCCATACCAGGTACACAGGTTCAGCTCTCGAGAGAGGAGCTACAAAGTGCCTGTTTTCGTGACCACCGCACCACCACTCAAGGTCCGTACTTGGCTTTGTCAATAGGTCTGGAAAACGGTTTGAACCACAGGCCAGAGCACACAGGTCGCTATTGCTGTTGGGCTTCGGGGAAACGGGGAAACGGGGACATCGTCAGCAATAAATAAGGGCGCGGTGCAGAATCAATATATAAAATTTGTTAGATCCCAAAATAACCGAGAAAGTTCGCGATTTTTGTTGAGGTTCGAGTTGCTGTTCGTTTGGCGTTTAGTGTACAGTATTTTGTCGTACCTGAACAGCGTAACTGTACAGGCAGTTGCACCACTCGTGTTTTACATGCAAACTTGCATACCATAGCGTCTGGAAATGATGGCAACGTCACTGCGGAAAACCAGTGAAAAAAAATCGAACTTTGCTGGGAGTTGCACCACAAATAAAGGTGAACTCGGTTGACGAAAAAGACGAATCTGTTCGCGACATGTTTTCGAAGCCTTACGACGGTGTTACGCGATGTCCCCAGTGTAAATGCGGCACCAATTCATGTCGCATGGATGGTAGGAGTTCGGTTTCTCCAAAACAATTTCTTGGTGCAACTGAGAAAGGGTGCCAATGGTGGGCGTTTTGCACAAACAATTTCGCGATACAGCAAATGAGTCAGAGTTCGCGGCGAAACCCAGTCCAAAGAATTTTCATTTAAAAATAACTATCTGCACCGCGCCCTGAGGGCATGGCGCACCCTGCTGCAATGGCAGGATCGCTTCTGACCGGGTTGCAGCCACAGCGACCCTTTGGAATCACCCTACTGGGGTGGGGACCGGGTCCTGAGATCCAACATCACCCCTTGTTTGATGAGTGGAAGTGCGTTTTGGCAGCCGTAGGGTTTAGGACGTGTTGCGGGGGGGTGGATTGGGGCCAACATCATAGGCATGCAAAATAGTATGGTAACCCTATGCAATTGTATGCAAAACCGTCTATACCCCAGTTCTGCTGCGCAGTTTTGTCTGGTACCGCCACTCAAAACACTGTGTAACAGCTTACGCAGCACAAAAAATGAAGAAATATGTGCAGTAATCGATTGCTTCATATCTCAATGGTTCTTACCGCGGCCCGTTTGGCACCTAACAAACAATTCCTGCGGACAATAATTTTCGGCTAAATGTGCACGATATATTTAGCGGAAAATTCTGTTGGAATGTAAGGGCAGGGCAGAAAACCTAAAACCCCTAGGGACCTGGACGCATTTCGGGGAGCGATCAACCCTAAACACAGGAAAGGGCATTGTTTTTTGGGTTGATGCCTCCCCGAGTCGCATCCCTTTCCGATTTGGTTTTTTTTTTTTTCTTGGGTCAGGTGTAGTGAACAGTATTGCTCATATGGCAGAAACAATTCCCTGAAGAAATCAAAGTTTAGCGCAAAGCCAAGCGCGGTAGAAATCAGTGTTTGAATTAAATACAAACGCGCCAATAGGGCAATATGTCATTACCTCCAGAACTGAGGTATCGACGGTTTTGCGTACACAATTGCATAAGATTACCAGACTCTTTTGCATGCCTATGATGTTGGCCCGGTGGATTGCCTCGATCCAACCCGATCTAAACCGAATTTCCACATCCATGAAGGTTATATTGTGGATCAAGCCAACCTAACCCCACCCAATCGGGTTGGATTTCCCCAATTCAACACCCGATCGATTGGGCCGACCGTGAGGACACAATCCAACTCAATCGGGTCGGGTTGATCTAGCAAAATTGATAATTTTTTATAACACTCGTTCTGAATTCGCCTACTAGTTGCGGATCAAGCGAAAAAATGTGTTCGAGTAACATAATGTCATAATAACGAACGAGAATCAATGCACTAGCAGCAAGATGGGTACAAGTAGGAAACCCTAATTGGGTTGTACCCCATATGGGCTACTCCACTATAGCCTACACAATAAGCAGCATATAAGTTTGACACACCCCCATAGGCAAAGTGGGGGAGAACAAGAGGTCACAAGACCGGTCAAGAAAAGCAAAGCAAGCTCAGGGTGGATCACGAAGTCACCACGCATTCTGAGCACAAACAAACGGCCACAAGGCCAGTTCACATGCAGAGTTATATAAAGGAGAACAAGCAGTACAATGATCACAACCTAGCAAGTGTAAGCATGCAGGTATATGTATATAGATCACAGTACAAGCAAAGTCAAGAAGTGAGCAAGTGAGACCAAGTAGGCACAAGGCCTAGAACAGTACAGAAACGCTGATGATCACAAGGCTGAAGTGCCTTGGTGAAGATATCAGCAGTGTTGGCCCGAGAGGCCACGTAAGCAAGACGAAGCTGACCACGCTGCTGCAACTCTCGAGCAAGGAAGTAGCGCAGAGCGATGTGCTTCGTTTTGTGTGTGAATCAAGAAAACAGGAATGAAATGACTAAGTGAAAGTTGGGTACAAAAGGCAAACCCTAGGCAACTGTACCCCATATGTGCTACCCCACTATAGCCTACAGTAGCTATGTCATATAACTCTGACACACCCCCATAGGCAAAGTGGGGGAGAACAAGGGGTCACAAGACCAGTCAAGCAAAGCAAAGCAAGCTCAGGGTGGATCACAAAGTCACCACACATTCCGAGCACAAGTTCAAGGCCACAAGGCTAGTTCACATGCAGGATTACATATATATATAAGGCTAGACAAGTAAGAGCAGGAGTATATATATATGCAACAGTACAAACAAGGTCAAGAGGTGAGCAAGTGAGGCAAGGTAGGTACAAGACCCAGCTGAGTACAGAAGCGCTGATGATCACAAGGCGCAAGTGCCTTGGTGAAGATATCAGCAGTGTTGGCCTCAGAGGCCACGTACGCAAGTCGCAGCTGACCACGCTGCTGTAGCTCACGAGCAAGGAAGTAGCGAAGAGCAATGTGCTTCGTTCTGTGCTCCAGTCTCTGCTCTCGACACAAGGCCAGCATGGCCTTGTTGTCTACGTAGAGCACTGGAGGAGAACGAGGCGGCTCTCCGAGGTCAGTCAGCAGGTAGGTGAGCCAGCGAAGCTCCTGTGCAGCCATGGCCCCGGCGTAGATCTCAGCCTCACAACTGGAGCCGAGAACAGAAGACGAGCGAGTAGCCCGCCACGAAACAGAGCCGGAACCAAGGCTGAAGGTGTAACCCTGTGACGACCGCTGCGTAGCCTGGTCGTCAGCCCAAGAAGCGTCTGCGTGTCCAGTGAGGACCACTGGACTCTGCCCTCCAAGCACAAGCCCCATGCCCGACGTACTGCACAAGTAGCGCAACACCCTCTTCGCTGCAGCCATGTGCTCCGGTCTGTGTCTCCCAGGAGCAACATAGCGTGCAAGAATGCTAAGAGAGTATGCAAGGTCAGGTCGTGTGCAGGTCATCAGGTACATGAGGCAGCCAACAAGCTCTGGGTACGGGCCACTCGACTCTACGGACTCATCCGAAGGCAGAGGAGTGGCCTGAGGCGAGGAGTACGTGAAGCCGAAGCGCTGAAGGACCTGCTGCACCATGTGTGACTGAGTCAGGGTAATGGTGCGGCGTGCTCTGT